ACGAAATAAGCATATCTGACGTAATTTTCGAAAACAGACATTTTCAAAAACGTATGTTTCTTTAGAAAACCCTAAAAAACTATCCGAAATAGTGCTCCCTACGCTATTGCGAAATAAGTTATAACTTACCATAACATAGCCTACTTTCGGCCTATGCGCAGAATAAGTACCACTGCGCATGCGCGAGAATCCGTATGTGCTACTATGACAAATCTAACGTTATGGGGATGCTTTTGGGATGTTGGAAAAATATTTTCAAGGTACTGGGTGTGCTACAGAGTCTCACAAACACGCGTTGTCACCCCGGAAACGATACAGAACGAAATAAGTATATCTGACGTAATTTTCGAAAATAGACATTTTCAAAGGCGAATGTTACTTTAGAAAACCCTAAATTAGTTTATTATCTTTTTCTATCTCAGTTAATAATAATTCATGGATATTAAAGACTTACCCAACTTTGGGTTTGTCTTTTTGGGGTGGGCTTCCTCGGCTTGAACGATCCAGACGCTTTCTTCGGCAGCTGAGAGCTCGTGTGTTTCTTAGTCTCCCCCGATTGCTCGCAATTGTGAGTGACCAACTGCTCTTTAGTTTTAAATGCCTATGATGTGCAAAAATAATGATTTAGAGTCACTCAAAAAATTAATATCGGTATAAAAAAAGTAAATTAAACTCACGTGAGAGCAAATGTCACACTTAAGACTGTGTTTGTTCATTTCGTGATGTTTAAGCGCTTGCGCCCGATGAAAATTGCGGTTGCAATGGCTGCAACTAAACCGTTTGACATTGTTGTGCGTCAACAAGTGCCGTTTAAGTTTGTCCGGTCGCGAGAATTCGCTCATGCAGCCTAGAAAGCCGCGAAACGGGCACTTGAGTCTTTTAGTTAGGTCGTGGATCAGCATGTGACGACCCAGCCGATCTTTTCGCTTGAATCGGGCTGAGCAATGCTATAAAGTTATATAAAAAATGTAAATATCAATTTTAGTCAAGCATTGGTACTTTTGTACGTATAAGTGAGAAAAAAAGAGACGTTTAGATAAATTAAAACTCACGATATAATGTTAAATCTGCAGATTAAATTTAAAGACATTGCCTTCTGTTTTTACGAAACTTTGAGTTTTTTAAAATTTGTGAAGTTTATTAACGTGAAATTTTTTACAATTCTTTCGTCTTACTTACCGGACAGGCGAAAGGTGTCTCCTCGCTATGTATTAACTTATGATTGGCCAAGTACTGCTCCGTCTTGAAGGCCTTGCCGCAGTCCTCGCAGGCGAATCTTGCCGACGTTGAATGGGTTTTAAGATGACGGCGTAGGAATCTTTCAACAAGAAAACTCTTGCCGCAATGTAAACACACATAATCGTGTGTGGTGGTCTCCTGATGATGCTGCAGTGCTTCCAAGTTTGAAAACGACGACTTGCAGACTGTACAGCAGTAGTACTTCTCGGTGGTCTTCTGCTTCTGGACGGAGTGGACGTACTGGTGGCGGCCAAGGTCCGAAAGAGTGTTAAATACCTCGCCGCACACGTGACACCGATACTCAGAGCACTTGTGACTACGCGTGTGCTCCAAGAAATCCTCCAGCTCCGAGAACATCATACTGCAACTACTTTGTACACACTTATACACTTTTAGCGCCAGGTGCGAGACGATCAGGTGGCCTTTCAGAGCTTTGTACGAGTCGAACGTCTCTCTGCAGAACTGACAGTGATATGTGCGGTCGATGCTTCCATCCGGAGGCGCCTAAACGCAATTTTGAGATAAGATATATGTGATCCGAAATATTTAAATATTAAATTAAAAATTAAATATTGAATAATTTAAATATTTAATTTTTAATTTAATTAGAAATAAAGATTAACAAGCACAACCAATGTAAAAGTAAAATAAGAAAGAAAACTAAAGTTCAACTTTGATTGTATTAAGAAAGTTTTACCTCAGGTGGTAACGAGTGTATCGCGGTGCCAGGCCATACTTTGTGCGAGGACATATGTTTCTTTACATTGGACTTTTGTGCGAACGCACGACCGCACACTACACATTGATAGGGCTTTTCACCAGTGTGAGAGCGTTCATGTTGCTGCCAATAGAACTTCTTTGCAAACTGCTTGTTGCAATAGCCGCACTTGTACTGTAACAACGTAATCAAATATAAAAGTCAGTATGTACAATATAAAAAATCAACTATGTGCTTTGATTTATGTAAATATTTACTACTACTCTAAATTATATTAAATTTGTTATATTAATTTAAAGTAACAAAATTCTAAAATACCTTTAAGTTCTGTGTTTGGCCAAATTGGTCATTTTCCAATTCATTGGATGAATAATCCTGGAAGGATGTGTCGTTATCCTCGAAGGTGGCCTCATGGTCCTCCAAGGGCGACGGCTTGTCGTCCTCCAAGGTTGGTGGTTCATTGTCCGTCAAGGATGGTTCATTATCCGTCAATGAGGCACTCGGATGCTCGGGCTGACTCGAAGCGTCCTCTTGAGAGATATCGTTTTGCAGTGGTAATGATGGCACTTCGTTCGAATCTTCTTTCGTCCCTTCGATGGAGGCTCCATCAAAAGAATCTAGGTTCTCAGTACTTAAAATGATGGGCACACTGAATGTGGAATCTGCTGTGAAATAATTAGTGGAATCCTGATCCACACTGTAATAATAAAATCAGTTAAAAAATCAAAAAGATAAAGAATTATCTATTGATATAAAACAAAACATTAAAAATAAAACAAAATCCTCATTAAAATATCGCAAACTATATATTGTTTTATTATCAATAAATATATTATAGCATTATAATTGCAGTTGCTAAATGAAGATTAGAAGAAGGATAAAAACAAAATACCTAAATAACATATCTGTTTCTTCGAGGATAATTGGTTCACCAAGTTGAAAAGTCTCTTGTGAATTGTATTGAGACTCATCTTGAACATCATCTTCTGTATGCATCACTTGACTTTCGTCGTTTGTCAGAAACTGAGACAGATCCACAGTCTGCTGCTGTGTTTTCTGATGTGTTCTCTTATGGAGTATAAACATCTGCAATGATGTAAACTGGCTCTTGCACTTGCCACACTGGAATATGTCCTCCTCATCTTGATCAATTGCTGGTAAAGAAACATTTGTAGTATAAAACAAATTAATATTATGAGAGAATATTGACAGAAATCTTTTTTATATATGTATATACCTGACTGTTCAACTTCAGCTATTAAAGTCTGAGATTCTAACAGGGATTGTACAGAAGAACCATCTAATGAGACACCTAAACATTAAGTAAGTCAATAAAATAAGTCACGATAGTAGTAATAAATTACATATAATAGCAGTTTACAATTAGAAAATCAGACGATTAGAAAATATCAAATCAAATACTACATGATTTTATAAATATAATAAATATTGGTAACAAGTCATGTTATATATATACAGATTTCCTTTAAGATTTGTTTTGATCAAATTTGATTTGTTGTTACTGTCATTCATGTGATTTGTCGTGCAATGAGAGTTTATTTAGAAAAAAGACTTCTATTAAAGTTCACTAATCAAAAAACTTAAAAGTTAACGACAAATTTTTTCACAACAATTCTGTGAATGACCTTTACTTTATATATTTACCAAATTATGCATAAATGCAAAACTCTAAATGTGCAGACTGTCAAATGTGTCTAAAAGATTGAGCGCGTAAAATATGTAAAATAAAAGCAAAAGACAAGAATTTGACAAAGGTATAAAAGGACTTTAAAGGTTGTTGTTTCTGGAGTTGGTTAACCCCACCTATCACTTAGGTAGCGACGTATTTTTACCTGTCAATGCATCGAGAATAGACTGCGCCATGTCTTCGGGAACGTGATTAATGTTTCATTGTAGCGGGATAGCAATGTACAAGGCCAAATTGCCTCACGACTTGACAAACACGAAGAATAAAGTAATCCACCGAGGTGTCAACATAACAAGAGTATTCTTACATCTTTGTTGCTACCGAAACGGCGCCAGTGCTCTGATCGATATGTCGATTCCTAACCTCAAAGCGCGACAAGTCATGCAGAGAGAAGCCTGAGAGCGGTCACGCCATACATTTTGGACGACACTGATTTTCACGCTGTCCGATGCGCCATCTGCACACATTTGTGAGGAATTACGTTCTCTACGTCTATTTTCTGGCTGCCGGTAAAGTATCGATTTGGTGCGTGTCCATTCTACGTCCATTTTCTGGCGATTCGTGTCCATGCTAAACGCATAAATGCGTGCTTGAGAACATGGATTCTCCATGTCTTAACATTAATCACTGAAATATATACTATCTGGGACGCGCGTTATCTCTTGAGTGTTACGGGATAAGAGAAAGCATGACTGTCTCGAACAGCGCTCTGTCTTTGTCTAGTCCGTCGTAACAAAGGATATGACAGCTAGTGTCAGGGGGCTGGCCAAACGTATAGCGTGGCCGCTCTCAGGTTTTATCTGAGTCATGCAACAGCATAGGGCTTTTTACCGGAAACTGGTTATGGGGATCCCTAGACCGCGTAAATTTCGGAGCGGCTGATTCTCCTCGATAAAGTAATAATGAATTTTTAAGATTAGAAAGTAATTTCACATATAAAGCAAAATGGCAGTGTCTTTCTGTGTAAGAAGAATTGCCTCGACGCGGCATAATTTCCTGAAAATACCCAAACGGCATGGTTACATAGTCTTGTAAGTTTATTCTCGTGATTCTGTAAAGAGGTTAAGTTCTATTTAAATATATATATTTTTTCTGTGATATATTTGCAAATCTTTTCTGCTGTTACATATTATTGCCTTCGTGGCATTTGCATATTTGATATTACTTTGTAATATCACTATTTAGAATCATAATTGAAATATATATTTCGATCTGTTTGTACTGTGTAAAAACCTAACCTAATCTGTATTTTTATACACTTATTTTGTATATATCTGCTATTTTGTATATATTTAATATTTTTTGCATTATATTTATTGCGTAATGTCTATGATTTCGTGTATCTTTTATAGTATTATTTTTAATTTACATTGATTGATTTTTATTATTGATGTATAGAGAGAATCGTACAGACTATATTAATTTATGAAGTTAATTACTTAATTCATTATTTATATTATGTATTTTTTTTTCTTACTTATTTATGTCTTCTGTATTTTATTGTGTGTTTATTTTATTGGTATTGAGCTTGTTTTTTATATTTACATATATTAGTTAACTTATTTAACTTAAAAAAATTTTACTTTTCATATAAAGATTACCAGAAATAGGTGAAGAGTCGTCTGAGAAGAATCCTTTGTTAAAAGATAATAATTTACCTGAATTTAACACAATTACAATTGAGAAATGTATTGCGGCTATTGGGAGACAAACTGTGGAATTCGAAGAGAAAATAAATAGTTTGCAAACAGTTATAGAATGTAGGTACTTAATACCAAGATAAAGTGATAAAATTTGAAAGTTTTGATATAGTATATTATGAATATATATAGAATATTTTTGAATTTATATTAGTAACAGAACAAAATATAATCATGCATTTTGGATAAAGAAATATGCAATCTCTGTTTAATCACTAATTTTTACATTCTTTTATAGCGAAAAAAGATTTAGATGTATTTAATGATCTACTTCATACAATCGAGGATACGTATTTGCCTTTAGAGACTACATGGGGCATAGCAAAAACTTTATATTTTGGCAACCAGAGCGTTATGCCCACAAAATCTTACATGGGGATTCACGAGCGCGCAATAAGAGCTGCAGCTAGTAAATTCAGCAATATATCACTTTATAGAGTATTCAAGGAAGCTTTAGAGAATAAAGACATAAAATTAACACACTCGCAAAAGCGAGTATTGAGCAAATATGTATTGGAAGGTACATTGAATGGCTTGAATCTGGAAGATAAAAAATACGATTTATATATGGCCGACGTAGAATATCTTGGGTTCAAAGCTAAGGAATACAAAGCAAAATATGAGGTTTGTGTCTATATCAATAATTATAAGATATATAGCGAGTTAAAAGATAATTTTCTTTTATATACAATACAATTTTTTTGTTATATACGTTTTTAACAACATATTCTTTATCGAGATTCAAATAAACATATGTAACGTGCTTTTGGAGAAGTTTAGCAATGATTTAAATTAAAATTGTCTTACATTATCAGGGTGCTACAGGAGCTTACAGTATCACGATACATAATAGAGAAATCGTAGAGGATTTTCCGGAGAATTTTCTTAAGACTATTGCGCTCGATCCCAAACAACCTTTCTTAGGTCCGTGGAAAATCACTTTAAAGCCGTACATCTTGGAACCGTTTATGGGTATGTATTTTTAGCATTTCTACGGACAATTGTATATTAATGCTCTATCCACTTAATATTCAGTTTTTTTCGTTTCATTGTAACTAGAGCATTGTCCTGATCGTAAACTGAGAGCGACGATCTGGGAAGCCGATGTCATCCGTTGCTCTACATACCAAGAAAGATCTGTTCAGGCCAGCGTAACTTTAGAGGAAATGCGAGGTAGAAGACTCGAGCAGGCGCAACGTTTGGGATACAAGCATTTTGCAGAGATGAGTATGAACACAAAAATGGCTGGTAACATGGAGAATTTGCAAAATACGCTGGAAACTTTACGGAGCATCGGTAACTATTATTATAAAACAATTATGAAATTATTATAAAATATTTAATATGAAACAAATGACACATTATTATAAAACATGAATACGTATATTTTATCACAAGAGATATAATAGTATAGCTGTTTTTATAATTACGTAATCATCAGAGAAATCACCAGAGATTATTATAATATCAGTAACTAGTTTAGTGAAAATGTTTTATAAAATCATCAAAGTGTTAGTGCTATTCAAAAGTTTTCATTGAAATTTAGTAACAATTGATTTGTTAATGTGATATGATATATTTATTAATAACGATATGTATTTAATAACGAGATCTTTTTAATTGACTTACTCTTTTTCTTCTTTTTTAAATAAATAATTATTTAATATTTTATCGAAGCACGACCTGTTCAGGACTTAGAAATCAAAAGTTTGACAGACTTTGCGAAGGAGAGGGGTTTTACAGACACTTTAAGGGTGTGGGATGTGGCATATTGGAGTAGAAAACAACGTCATTCTTTATACGAGTAAGTAAATCAAAATTTTCATGGAAAGGTCCTTTAGAGAAAAATAAAAAATTTCATATTATAGTGTTAAATTGTCGTTTAAATAAGATATTTTACAAAACGTAAAATTAGATATTTTACAAAACGTAAATACAACCTAACTTATGCATATTTTTGTCATACATATTATAGTAATATAAGAATATAGTTCTATTATTAATTATACATATATACATATATATATATATATATATATATATATATATATATATATATATATATATATATATATATCTTACTTAGCTGTAAAGATAGTACACTGAGTCCGTACTTCCCGTTGCCGACCGTGTTATCAGGCCTATTCGAGCACATCGAATTTCTTTTCAACGTGAAGATTATTGAGAGTAAAAAGGCCGATATTTGGCACAAGGACGTTCGGTTCTACGACGTGTTTGACTTGAATGTGTCTAGCAATGTTCCTGTTGCAAACTTTTATTTGGATCCCTACGCTAGAGGCGCAGACAAGTTTCGTAAAGAGCAGGATTCGGGATGGGTGTCCACGATCAAGAGCAAGAGCAAAATTTGCGATAGCAATCCGTTGCTCGCTCTGATTTTCAATTTCCCACCGCCGATAGGCGACAAACCCTCGCTGCTATCTTTCAGGGACGTGCAGATACTCTTCCAGAAGGTGGGTCTTGTACCTTCCTTTAAACCATTATTATTGATACATTCAATGTATGTATATATATTAATTTAATAATTAATTAATAATTAATTTAATTTTTCAATTTATATAGTTAATATGCTCATTTATAATCAATCCACCTAATTGTATATTTAATTCATAATTTAATCATGTAATTAATATTATTAAATCGTTAAATATTCATATACTCTTTCTTCATTAATTAATCATCTTACACATAGTTCTTGTATATTGCAGTTTGGACATGCTCTACAGCATTTGCTAACCACAGTTGAATATTCGGACATTGCCGGATTATCATTCGTAGAGTGGGACGCGGTGTTTATTTGCGATTTCTTCATGGAAAACTGGTACGAAACAAAGTTACTCAAACATGTAAAGTTAATAAAGTGAATGGATGAGTTTATGATATGTAATTGTATATCTTATCGTGTATTTAATTGATAGGTTGTACGAACCATTTATGCTACGTAAAATTTCCGAGCATTACGAGACGAAGCAACCGTTGCCTGCGGAGATTATTGAAAACATTAAGAACATGAGATCGTATTTTGCCGGCTATAAACTGTGCAAGGAACTTTATCTCTCGCAAATGGATCTAGAGCTGCATTCCAGGTAAGCGTGGATTTATCACGATAGAAAATCTTATTTCAATTCTAAACTCAATTCAATAATTTGACTAAGTCTAAAAAATGAGATATTTCCGTTGCCTTTAAGTAGAATAATTTGATTATTCTGATTTAAAAAGATGCTTTGGACTTTGCCGAATCAGTTAATTACAATTGTTTAATTGTCGGAAAAATTGTAGTGAAACGTTTTGGGTGCCCATGATGAAACAACTGTGGCCGAAGTACTTCGCGTTGCCACTTGAAAAAAGGGATGTCCACGTTTGTTCCTTCGAGGCTTTATGGAGTGGTAGATGGGCAGCTGCATATTTTAGGTAACAAATTTGTTTTCATAAGTTTTCATAAATCTGTGCCCCGTGAACAGAACACTTTCGAATTGACATTTAACTTTCGCGATTTAACGAATTTTTACCGTCTATCATTATTATTACTGCCACTTGTGTATCTCGTCCATTTGCTTAATAATTGCCTGTTTTTTTTTACGTTTTTAATTAACGTTCACAATGATCATGACTAAATATAGCTACGATGTTGAGACATTGAAATAAACATTACTTTGTAGCAAAATTTGGTCGGAGATGATAGCCGCCGATTTATACACGGCGTTCCAGGAAATCAAACCCGACGACAAGTCACAACAGAAGGAATTGGGCGCGAGGTTCCGCGACACGTTTTTAGCTCTGGGTAGCAGTTACCCCGCTGCTGAGATTTTCAGGAAATTCAGAGGCAGAGATCCAAGTCCGCAGGCGTTGCTCAATAACGTCGGCTTAACGCGAACGACAAAGTGATGTAACTATGTGATCAGATAGATTTTGCCACTGTTCGCAGCGTAGCGGAAAAATAAATCAGATTTATATAGTAAATTCCGAAAGATTAGTAAAGTCGATTTATATTATATACTATAAACTGATGTATATAAAATGTTACATGTTATATAATAATATAAATCGATTTATATATTAAGACCGATTTATATTATGCAATAAATTACTATCTGTATAAGTACCACATCCAGCTGAAACTAAATACGTAGTGATTTCGATACATGTCGAGACTGCGACAAAAGATCCAATCAAATAAAAAACTATAGTTGTTACGTGGACGGAGTGAATTGTCGCAGGGATGAAACCCAAGGGGTGAGGGGAATAATTGTATGTATTGTAATGGAGTTGATATACTAAGATGGCGACGGTTACTGTTTTTATACAGTGAAAATAGATATAAAACTCCTATACCAACATGGCCGCGACGATGTACCTCTCTTGCCTCTTAGGCTTCATAGCCCCTCGTCTATAATCGCACCTTTTGCTCCGTCCATGTATTCTTACGTCTATGGGTTGTTACATTTCCAAGTTTCATTTGTCGATAAACGCGATTTCTTTGTTAACATTAATCAATCTCTGATTTTACATCTGTTAATAATGGTGGCCTTTCCGTTCATTCGTACGACCGCTTGTTATATAATAGTGGAATCATATGTGGATCATATAAAATCATTAAATATGAATTAATTAACGTCGAAACTTATTTGCTGAGTAATTGTGTACTGTGTAATATAAACATATATAGTATATCCGTATAATTCGTGTTATCTCATAATCAATTTCTCGGAAAGATAATGTGAAAAAAGAAACGTCCGCAATGGGATGAGATTATTAAGGCGCGATTAAATACGCGCAAAAAAAAACGCGAATGCGTAACTCGATGGTGTGCAAAGTAAATTTCTCGGAAGCTATTGCAGTTTGTTTTGCAACCGGAAATTTGCAACCTCTTGAATTATGTCAATCTATTTTACATACATAATTCTTAGAAGTTATTTTATGATCTATTACGATTACCTTATTATAATTATCTGCTCCGCAGATCGTTCGCGCGACGAAACACTTCGAAGGAAGGCTATGCGGCCGAAAGGACACGTCCTGATGAAGACTCTGCTTTTCGTCCGGAGATTAGGCACTTGATTAACGGTCGCGAACAGGCCGGGTTTTCCCGGTCAAGCGCTTTCTATTGTGCGGTGTCAGACGTTTGCGATCCTATTCCCACCCGTTATATTACGGCGCGGTAGGTAGGTAGGATTATGAGTCACCTTCTCCGCATGAATACTAAATGTCTCGCTGCGTCATTATCAAGCGTCGCACGTGTAAAATTTATTTATGAGCTCATTGATCACGTTTATTTATAGTAAAGTGGATTTATTTACGATGTCAATATGGTTCCCCACATTAATTAAATTTACTAATACGTCTTGTTTAATTAAATTTATCCGCGTGCGATTGGTGAGGACAAGACCTGAACGTTGTAGAAACGAGCGACACGTGTGCGAACGTTTATATTTTTATTTTATTCGCATGTTTTATTTGCAGGATTACGACGCGTTTAAATCGCAGCGAGAACTTCGAAAAAAGCGAAAATGGTAGAATGAAATAAAAACGCGAATGGAAATGAAAACAACGTTAGCGAAAATTATTTTCAAGAAACAAGAGAGCTTCACGGAGTTGAATTCACACCAACGTTGTTGTAACTCCAATCACATTTCGCAAGATCGTTGTGGTTTTGATTCCGGCTTGAACGTTCCGTATTTCGCTACCGTTTCGATAACATTTCGATTATTAGGCGCGGCTAAGTCTACGACAAAATTCCAACAGGTAGTGCTTTCTCGCGCCAGAAACGGAAAATAAAATACTTATTGTCCGCGCTTAGAAACATATTAATATGCAACTCGCTGACGTCGCTATCGTTGTTGCAATACGTACTTACGTTCTGTCGCGCAACGCAGAGACGGGGAGAAGTGACCGCAACGGTTCCCAGAATGTAACCCCGGCGACAGCAGAGTGCACGTCGTAAAAGCGCAACGAGTACACCAGACTGTCTAATCGCGCCGAGAGCGCAAAGGAGATTTCGACGAACAGAGGGGCCGAGATCGTGCTTCTTCAGGCCTGATGACGCGCGTTTCTCCATCAGTATCCCGGCATCTCGCGCGGTATTATGTCGCTTTGTACCGGGTGTCCTGGAAAGTCATGTTCCTCCCTGTTGACGTAATATTACGTCCTCCCGCGAGACTTTGTACGCTGTTTCTGAAAAACATGATTATGTAATTTATGCAGTTCATGAAATTATACCTGATTATGTAATTCACCGATGTAAGTCACCGATCGTAATTATAAAGTTACATAATTGTATAATAATTAAAAAGAACTGCGTAATTGGAATTACATAATTATAAAAACAAAATTTTTATATCGTCGTGAGATAAATTTTGCGAATTATATTTATATTATATTTAAGATTTTAGTAGATAGCTTGTTAATTAAAATACGCGAGCTCTAATGTGAGTGACATATGATTATCGCTCAGATAATTTTGTTTCAGTCAAAACTGGAGATTTTAAATCGAATGATTTTGCACGTATGACAACGAGAACGAAAGTAAATTTTATTTGATTAGAAAGACAAAAACAAATACGAGTTTGAAGTTAAAGCTTCAAAGTAAATTGTTGATTAATGGATAATAAATATTACATAGCAAATCGATGTTGCTCGTTAGATTTATTTTGTTTTCTTAGTCTTTGATGTATATAATTTCGAATACAGAACTAACGATTGACAGAGATCTCTGACAAATATCACCGAAGAACTACAAGTGTTTTCTTGAATATATATACATATATAAACATTTAAAGATTTTCTATTATAGAACCAACGATAGAGAAACGTGATATTCGAGGATAGCGATTTATTGTTGTCTAAAGACGTAGTTTTACTATTTACGAACGTACTAGTATAGCTTGTCATAAAGAAAATCAAGACAAATATCGGAGAAATGTGTAAGACCAAAGACAACAATTTTTCACGACAAAACTTTCTTACTGTTATTAGTTTTGTATTTAATTTCATTTTTCTTTCTCCCATTAATCGAAGCAATTTACGAACGGATGTATGCTTTATGTTATCGGTTTTCTATAATTACTCGTATAATTTGGCATTACAAGACCGAAGAAATTCGATGAAAAAAATCAAGGTTTTAAATCATCATCTATAAATAATGTCGCGATAATAACTCTAGAGAAGAAATTAGATTTTTTTACGTTCAATTCGCTTTATTGCCGGCTTTAATTCATGTATTTGAGAGAACAGCAATGTGTGAATTTTACCGATTCGTTCTTCTTTATTATAGAAAATTAGTCAAGAAATTATAATTTAATTAATTTAATTAGTGCGATAGTATATACTAAAACGCGTAGTGAAATCTCGTCTCATGACTGTGACGAGATCATCTGAACGACGTGTTTAGAAATGCCGTCGCTGCTTGAAAGCTTTTAGATTAATTATTTCTGATTCATAAATATTCGATCTACACGAGTTTTCTGCAAGGAATGTTTAAGAATGCGTTTGTTTATCCACAGAAGACGAATTCGCAGATTCTACTGCTGTGCCTGTCAGCACACGCCGGCCGGTAGCGGTGTCGGCGGCGCGAGCCGAGCGGCGGCGGAAACGCCCGAAGCGGCGCGAGGCAACAGGCGGCTCGTTGAGATCGTGGGCGAGGGGGGGAGCGCGGTGTGCGAGTCAGTGAGTCGCCGGAGGCCGTAGCGTGCGGTTGCGTGCAGTGCGGTACGTCGCGTCGCGTAGTGATCTCGCGTTCCCGTCGTTATCGCACGACCAGACGAGAAACAGCCGCCGTCGCGTTTGGACAACTGACTGTTTGTGCAAATATTAACCGTACCGCGAAGCCTTGTCTCTCGAAAGAGGATACAGAAGGAGTGGACCGAAGCTAAGTGAAAGAGACGGACAGTGGGAAGTGCGCGCGGGTTTGACAAAGAGAGACGTGCTCCTCCAAGTGTTTGATGTTCCCAGGTAAATGCGTTCCCCAAAGCGCCGTGTTTGATGGCAAACAGCGAATACTCTCCTCTCGCTGTCAGAGAGTTTCGTGGGAGAAAGCGTGCTCGGCCCGCGCGGACTTATCCGAGCGTGATTTACCGGCTGCAATATGGCGTCCCGTGCTTTCACGGAATTTGAATTGCGATCGTCGCGCGCGCTTTGAATCGCGGGGTAAAGTGTATTACGCGCGGCGCCAATAATTTCACACCGTGCGACTTGATTGGCCGGTGCACAGTACACGTCCGTGATTCGAGACGCGAACGGTTGATTGTCGCGGATCTCGCGCATTTACGCAGTGATAAATTAATCGCCAGAGAGTTTGGCGTGCATTCTCGCGCCTCGTTATCGGCGAAATTCGTATGACGCGACCTGCCGTGATCTCTCCATTACTAGCGGTACTGTCGCGGACATCAGACGGCGCGAATCGCGAGTTGGAATGGCGCGTTCGTGTGAGTCATCGTGAGAACAGTGCGAACGGTGATTCCGACGCAGTGTCGGCGGTGAATTTCGCGAGACGCGACGCGCGCTAACTGTCAGTTAGAGCCGGACACGACCGCGGCCTCTCGAGTTCGCGGAATCGTCGAACGTTTTGCCACGCACGTCTCACCGTCTCATTAGCGAGACGGAAAATTCGCGCGTTCCGTCGTGAGATTTCAAGCATCAAGCGGCGGTCGACGCGTTCGAGCAGTGTGTTTGTTTTGGTTTGTAATGACGAACTGCCATTGTTGTTGCTGTTGCTGTTGTCATCGTCGAGACAGCCGAATCTCGATCACACTACGCGATACGTCAGTAACGGACTGCGATTAATTAAACGTATCGTGCGGCACGCGAATAACGGACGCGAAAATGAAAATGTCGGTCGCGTTGCGGATCGTCGTCGCGCTCCCGATTTTGTCGGCGATCGGCCACGGCAACGAGCTGAAGGATTACTGCACCAAGTACAAGTTCGGCAATCTACCGGGTGGCCTGTCGTTCACGAAGGAGGTCGTTACCACGGAGTACGCCAACGTGGGTGCGTTCAAGGCCCTTCACTGCTGCCTCAGGGGATACAGGAGCATCGAATGGTGAGTCTTTACACGATTCTTTACACATTACCGTGGAACGAAAGTTCGGGCGCTTAGATAATGTTGTGTGACAAGAGTAACGGAAAATACTTTAATTTATATCGAGATGGTAAAATAATAAGTGGGACTTTTTTTAAAGTTCGATTATATATTCAGATAACGGAGCAACGAGAAAAGATGACAAAAATATACGTGTAAAAAGATGGATGTCAAAATGATTTATGTCAAAATTTTAAGACGACATAAGATACTTTAAAATTTATTCTAGACATTTTTATTTGAGCTATCCGAATTTATACTTGAAAGAAAAAACACGATACAAATTTATAACATGCGAAACTTTACCTTTGGTTCTCACTTATTTTAACATTTTGCAAAAAAATACGCGTGTTTGAATATTTTTTTAGTGAATATATGCGTGTATTTATTTTTAGTAAAAATATTGCGTCCGAACCTTTTTCCGTTTAGGTAGTGTCCAATATATTGTTTAATAATTTTTATGTAACATGTATTTATTGTCACTGGAGTATGAGCAAAATTTTCGTTTAATATTATGTGTGAGATGACAGAAAATTCATATATGTTCATTTAATTTGTCATGCAATAACGAAACTTGTGAACGTAAATTATATTGTAACATTTCCGATATATATATATATATATATATATATATATATATATATATATATATATATATATGTATATATTGTCTTTTTCTTTAATTTTATTTTAGGAATTTTAACTTGAATTTTTTTTATTCTTTGAATACTTATTTTTTTTTTTCGAAAATAGAGGGGTTTCCCATTTAATTCTGATGAAAGGAAAGACGTCGTCGCGGATTTTTGCGCGACTTGAAAATCGCTGCTATGCGGGGAAATATCCTTTCCTTTCGCGTTTCTTTCACGGAGCAAATGCTTTTGCTCATTCTCCACCTTTCCGTGAGCATTTTGCTTCCCTTTTATTCGCGTACGCGTCTCGATAGGTGATAAATGCGAATGAAAACGAATCGAGTGCTTTCGGGCACAAAGGCTGTCAGCCGAAGCGCTCGCATTATGCGAATGACATTTTGCTTTTAGCGCAAAGTATTCGCTTCATACTTGAAGTACTCGCTTGTAGACATCTTTTGTTATCGCTACCCTTGTACACGATATATAGCGGTAACCTGTTCACTCGTACGAGTATAACCGATACAGAGTGGATGTTAAAAGTCGTTGAAGTCGTTCTTAGCGCGAGTATCTTTTTCTTAGCTGTCTTCCTAGCTGACATTTTATAGGTAGATTTTACAGAGATATCACACATTCAGATCAGACTTTTATAAATTTTTATATATTTTTATGTTATCATCGGTGATTAAAATAGTTGCAAAAAATGCATATTAGAACAGAGATTGTGTTAAACGTTTCATTTACTTCGTAAAATAATTTTCTATTATTAAGTTAGAATATAAAATTCTCGGAAAAGTAGAATAGAAGATAAATAATTTTGTTATTTACATTTATATTACTCGCGGAAATTTAGCGGGAAAAAGCATAAGTCATTTTCATCTCCAGCGTTTATAAAAATCGATTGTGGTTAAAAAGGAAGCAACTAAAAGTGAGAATTATTTGAGAATCTCTCTGCAGTAAATACGTAATGGGAAGAAGAGGGATAACAAATGAGGGGGAATAAGAATATGAGCAAGATTTATAGTAAGTCAGCATAAATTTCTATGAGAGAGAGAGAGAGAGAGAGAGAGAGAGAGAGAGAGAGAGAGAGAGAGAGAGAGAGAG